GGCGGCGGCGCGGCCGCATCTGCTGCCGCTCTTACTGCTGCTTCTGGGCTGCCTGGGCCGCGGCGCCGCTGCAGAGGACGCCGAAGTCAACGCCGAGGTAAGGACCCTTTCGCGAGCCTTTGCCGCGCGGGCTGGGAGACTGGGGGGCAGGAAAGGAGCCACACCCGCAGCTGGAGGTAGGGGGCGACGAGACGAGACGAGCCCTCCGTCCTAGGGGAGGGGGCGGGCGGAGGAAAGGGGCCAGGCAAGCTGCCCCTCCCCAGCTCTCCCCAGCTCTCCCTTTGCTGCACCTCTTCCCAAACCCCGGAGGGCGTAGGGCGCGCGCCCACTCTCTACCCCTACAGCCCTGCCCTGGGCACTGACCCGCCCCAGCCCCCTGGGAGCGGCTTCTGACGCCCCCAGCCCTGGCTCCCCTCCTTCCCTCCCCCCGGCGGCGGATTCCTCGAGAGCCCTACGGGCGCGGTGACGTTCTTTGCGAGCGGGGTGGAGGCTGCCCCGGGGGCCACGGGGGAGCCGGCAGCGCTCGCGCCTGGGAAGCGTCTGGTCCGGTGACACGGAGCCACGCGCGGCGGGCGGGGATGGGGGAAGGGATGCGAACCTCCGAGACCGCAGCCTCGGTCGCTTTGGTGCTTTGGCGACTTTCTTGGGCTCTTGGACGGAAGCCGCGCCACGGCCAGGTTGGGTCCCAGAGAGAGAGGGAGACCCAGTCCCCCTGGCGTTTCCTACGCACCAGAGTTTCTGCGCCGAGGCCCGTGACGCAGAGGACGGGGCTCCGAAGGTCCTTTCACCGGAGCCTGCCGAGGTCCCACGGGACCCCCTCTCTGGGTCGGTCCCGTGGGCGATCAGGCGCGGCCTCCTGGCGCAGAGCTGGGTCTACTAGTGCCCGCGGCTCCATGGAGTCGCCCAGCGCCGTCCTTCCGAGCTGCGATAGTGAGGGCGCCAGCTCCGCTGCCCCAAAGTAAAAGCGGGTCCACTTTTTCCCCGACTTCTAAGACCCGGCTCCTTGCCGGGACCAGGAAAGGAAAGTGGGGGGGGGCGGGGAGACCGCCTCTGCTCGGGCCCGGCAGGCTCGCGCCTCGGCGCCCTTGGCCCCTGCCCGGAGCCTTCCGCCGCCGGGCTGCGGCCTGAGCGCCGGTTCTATTTGCAGTTGGGCCGGTGCTCTCTCCCAGCCCCCAGCGGCTTCCCCACCTCTCCCTGCTGCCTGGGAGATTTTTCCGATGGAAGCCTGCCCTTCCCCGCCCTGCTTTAATAAAAGCGTGGAGGAAGGGCAGGGAATTCCTCCCAGCTCAAGTTACACCTCTCAGCCAGTTCCCCACCTGCTCTTCCCTCCCTCCTTGGCCAGGCCAGGGAAAGCTGCAGGGAGCCAGGTCCTGGCAGGAGGTGGAGTGGGAGCCCAGCCCATGCCCAGTCCAGCTGCCACCCCCTCATTCATACAGACAGGCAAGCAAGGGGCTCCTGCTGGTGGGAATTGCCCCTCAGCCTGTGTTCCAGGTGCCCAGTGAGGAGTGCTTGAACCCACCTGCCACTCTCTGGAGTGGAGTACCAAAGAATTGCAAGTCACAGACCCATCCTTGAGCCGTTTTTAATCTACTTAGGAATGGCATCTCTGCACAGGAAGTAATTATGGAGCGAGCTGGAATTTGGTGGCCACGCATTATGAATTGTCATCTTAGATGGCCAGGATCTGCAGTGTGGGGACCTGTGATCTGCAGGGCTTCATTCTCTTTCCTTTGCTTCTGCTCCTCCATCACTCCCTCCTCTTCCAGGGCCTGAGTGGGGTCACAGACATGGCTCTAAGCCTTTGGGAGCAGTAGCTAGAGATTCTGAGAGTGACCTGCAGCCTCTCTCCTGGGGGGGAATTTGGGTTGGGCTGGAAGAGACTGTTGAAGGCTTAGGGGACTATGGATGGCTAGACACAAGTGGGTTGTCCCTGTTCTTAGAATTGGCTTTGGGGTACAGGCTGTTCTTTGCAGTTTCGTCAAGTCTGGCCAGACCTAAGGCCCAGAGTCGAATGGCTTCAGCAGCCAGCACATTTGCCAGGAGGCTGTGGGACAGTTGTCCCCAGGTCCACGCTCTCCAAGGACCAGCCTCAGACTCCTGGGCCTGGCTTGCACCCTGTGTCCAGAGCCTCCCTCCCTTGGAGAAGGCTCTGGTCCTCGCCCCAGAATCTTTATAGCTCCAGACTTCAGGTCAGGTCATGGCTGGGGCCTTCTCTGAGCATCCTGGTAACTAAGCCAAAGCCAGCCCCTCTCCCTCCCAGGGCAGAAACCACGGTAGTTTCACTAGACAGGAATCAGGGAGGCTGGCCTGTGCTAGGAGCTGGCAGACACCTGCAACCTGCCAAGCCCTGCCTGAAGAAGGCTGTCTTTCTTGAAGAAGCCGCCGCCGCCGAGTTACTCTGCCCTGTCCCACTTTCTCCCTTGGATGTCAGTTCCCAGTCTCCAGCGTTTCTGGGCTGGAGCGCCACTTCCCTGCATAAATGCAGGCCTCACCTGACTGAGGTGCGAGCTGGAGCTCCTGGCCTCCCGCACCTGAGAGTCCGGGCCCCCCTTCAGATCTGTCCTGCCCTGCTGGCTACAGCACCTAGCCTGCTTAAGTGCCTTTGGTTTTCACCAGAAAAGCTATGGTCTCTTTTCCCACCCCCACCCAAACCCCCTTCCTCCCCAAGGATAACCTCAGGCCCTCAGCCCGCCCCATACAAGTGACTGAGGCTGCCAGAGTTCACAGGTCTAATGCAGCTGCCCCTAAAGCATGGACATACTCACCTTCCCTGAACAGACTCCCACATACCTACCTGCTGGCTGCTCAGGATGAGCAAAAGGAGGAGTGGGCAGTCAGCTTGAGTTCTGATTTTGACCTTCAGATATGACTGGGGAGCCATAGCCCCAGGCTTCCTGCGCTCCAATCTCCGCTGGCCACACCCTCCCCAGGGCCCCTGCACCTGCACTCTTATTAATACCTTTTCTTAAATATGGAGCAGAAACTCCAGAGGCCCCATGCCCACCCTTGAGGAAAAATGTAAGACCATTGTCTTTGGCAACCTACAGAAGCTGAACCTTCTCTTCTATCCATCCCTGCTTTTTAGTCTGTTCTCTTTTTACTAACAAACCACCTCTTCATAGTCTGTCTGTGAACCCCCAGAGAACTGGGCTGATGGATGCAGCCAGGGACTAGGATCTGATTGTGCCGCGCCCCTCATTACCAGCCCTCTGCCAGGTCCCTGCGTTTGGGCTGCTCCCGGGGTCCCCTTAGGCAGCCTCCTCCTTGCAGTGTGCACTTCTTGTTTGAATAGTTTATCTGTCCAACCTGCACATTCCGACCTTTGGACAAACACCTCACTTTGCCCCACCCAAGGAGGGTGGAGAGGCAACAACAGAGAAACACACCCAGACCCCCACCCCCCATTGAAGCCTCTCTCTAAACCCCAGCACCCACTGCCCATGTTCTCTGATGCCAACTAAGAAGGGCAATGCTGCCAAGAATGGAAAAGCCCCTCCCTGCTAATTGCTGGGTTCTGGCTACCCCCTCCATCCCCCTCTCGTTGCTGATCCAGATGTTCTCTGCCATCGTCACCTCTGCCCAGCTGGGAGGTTGACTTCTGTGTGAGGCCAGCTGTGGTGGTCACTGTGGGGAGCCTCCCCAGCGCAGATTAAAGTTGGTGCTATAGACTGAATGTTTGTGTGTCCCCCCCCCCAAATTCATAAGTTGAAACATAACTTCCAAGGTGATGATATTAGGGCCTTTGGGAGGCAATGAGGTGGTGAGTACAGAACCGTCATGAGTAAGATTAGTGCTCTTATAAAACCTGCCCAAGAAAGCTCCTTGCCTTCCTACCGTGTGAGGACAGTGAGAAGTTGGCAGTTTGCAGCCAGGAAGGGCGCCTTCACCAGAACCTGACCTCCCTGGCACCCTGACCTTGGACCTCCAGCCTCCAGAACTGTGAGAAATAAATGTTATAAGCTGCCCAGCTTATGGTATTTTTGCTCTAGCAGCCTGAATAGACTAAGATAATTGGCATCTTCAATATCCCCCCAAAATTTATGCGGCTCACTCGGGCAGGGGAGTGAAAACTTGGACCCCGTTTTGCTGAGGTGGGGCAGGGGCTCGGAGAGGTTGTGCTTGTCCTTTTCTGTTACTTGGAGGCCGGCTTCTGTGGACAAGCAGTGGGGACCAAGGAGACAAAATGGGCTACCTTGGTGGCAGTGAGCCCCCCACCTTTCAGGGGTGTAGGCCTGATGGGTCCCTGGCCCAGTTGTGGTCCGTGGAGGCTTCAGTGAAGTAGCTGGGCTTGATGGCCTTGAGGTCCCTTCCAGCCTGAGACTGGAGGGTCTGTGACTCCCCCAGGCTTATCATCCCTTGAGCACCCACTCTGTCCCCCCACATGGCCTTGGTTTGTTCCCAAGAGCCCTGAGACCAAGACCCCGGGTGCTGAGATGGGCACAGCGAGGACCTCACAGTGCCCTGAAAGGTCTGTTCGTCACCAGCAGGCCTCACAAGACGCCCTTTGTGCCTGTCTGGGCAGCTCTGCCAGAGTCTGCTCAGACTGCACAGAAGCCATGGGTGACAGAAGCAAAGCAGAGCCCTGCAGAGATTGTCCTTATCGCACAGGTTCTGACAAGGCCGATGGGAGGAGCTGGCTGAGAGCTGGCTGTGGTGATAGCAGCAGCCCGCGCCCCCTGCCCCCACGGCTGTGCTTAATGCACAGTATTGATCCATCTGGAAGCTCCTTTCCAGACACACACCCCCTGCGGACCTGCCTTGGCATTGTCTCAGCAGTCCTTGGGGGGCAGCCCTGCTGACATGGCCCAGCGCCCAGACCCAGCCAGAGATGTGGAACGTGGGGAGCATGAGACACCTTCCCCCAGTGCTGTGCTGGGCACTGTTCCTGAGAAGGACCTGAGCCCGGTGTCCCCAGCCTCAGGCCAAGAGGAGCTGGTGCTATTTTACAAACAGCCAGGTCCAGTAGTACTGCTCCTGGGCTCTAGTTCTAGCCAAGTCAGCTGTGCAACCTTGAGTGGGCCACCTCTCTGAACCTCACTGTCTGTGTAACAGGAATGGCGTTTTTGTGAACATTAAATGGGATGGTGAGTGGATGGCCAGCCCACAGCAGATTCTCAGCCCTCAGCTGCTGCATTTATGGCCTCTCCTAGGGCAGAGGGCCAGGGATTCCCCCTCCAACTCCTGATAGCCCCATATCTCCTTGCCTGGGGACAGCCACTCACCTGAAGCATCTATGCAAAGAAATGGCTGAAAGAACCAGGGTGGGCTGCAGGTAGGAGGGGCCCTTGTGGCTCCGGAGCTCTCTTCAGAACCTTCCCTGCCTCCCAATGGACAGTGACCCTCGTGGAGGAGGTCCCCCTATTCTGCTGCTTACTGACTTCCCCAAGCCTCAGTTTCCTCACCTGAGAAACAAAGCTTCATCTGCTTGGCACTCCAGCTGTGAGAGCAGGTGAGGGGAGGAAAAGGAGGCACGTTGTATAAGGGACAGTCTTTACAGTCAGTCACCAGTGGGAGTAGCAGGAGCGTGAACACAGCCCCTCTCCCACTTTGACACTAAGAGGTCAGTCATGACCTTTTAAATCGCTCCCCACTTTTGTCCATGGCAGCAGAGCCGTGCAGGGAGCTGGGGCCTAGGGTGCAAGCGGCCTACCTGTGCACCCCTGTCCCATGCTGTCTTTTCCCTCCACATCCTCACCTCCTGGGCTTGTCACACTGAGCACAGCAGTAGGACTCAAGAATATCCCTCCCGGGCTCTGGGGCAGGAAAAGCCCACAGCCCTATACGGGTGGTGTAGATGGATTGGTACCGGGTGGTCAGCCCCGAGTGCCTGTTGGTCAGTCTCCACCTTGTCATTCAGAGGTTCAGCTGCTCTGGGCCAAAACTGTGTTTCTGCTTACCCCACCCATGCCACCCATCTGTGGTGCTGCTTCTCACCCTGGCAGTGGCCTGGAGGCATTTGTCACCAGGAGGCTGAGGGTTTGAGGCTTGGCTGATACTGAGATGGAAGCTCTTGGCTTCCAAGAGATCTGGGTGAAGGAGGGTCCATAGCCACCCTTGGGACCTTCCCATCAGCCCCTGAACTGCCCCTAGAATTAAAGGGCCCCCCACGCACCCCATGCCCTCTGCTGGGCGTTGGAGCTCTTCCCTGCGGACAGGCCCAGCTCCCTCCCCCGCTCTTTCCTCTCCAGGGCATCAGCCGGAGCCTCCCCCTCCTTGCCCTCCCCTGTCACTCTGCAGACACTGCTAATCAGCCCCTTGGTGGCCTGTGATTGAGCTCCCTGAGATATTTTTACCTCATGCAAATAAGCAACGTCAGGTGCCCTCCAGTGTCAGCAAGCAGCCCCACCTCCCTTTGGATCCCTTTCCCTGCTGCTGATGGCCGAGCGTCGTGGCCTCGCCTTCTAGATCTCTCCAAGGAAAACTGTCCATGAAGGGTGGTGGGCATCCCCCCTTACACACACACACACACACACACACACACACACACACACACACACGNTGCTGGCCGAGCGTCGTGGCCTCGCCTTCTAGATCTCTCCAAGCTTCTTCAGGAAAACTGTCCATGAAGGGTGGTGGGCATCCCCCCTTACACACACACACACACACACACACACACACGGGACTTCAGGAAAGGTTTCTCGTGCTTGGAAAGAGCAGGAGCTGTGGGAAGGTGCCCATGACAGTGCCGGTGTCTGGCCTGGGCACATGGCTGAGTTGGGCTGGCAGGGGAGGCCACCTGCCTTCACCTGAGGCTGCACAGCCCTCAGGCCCTGTTGGAGCCCTGAGCCTTCAGCCCTGTTGGCAGAGGCAAAAGTCTGCCGCTCCAGGGACAGCCAGACAGCCACCCCCCCACCTCTGTCATTAATGACACATTCATTGAGCACATTCCCCTCCCCAGCGCAATGGGAGCACTAGTGTGGACGTCCCCATGTAGTCCTCACAGAAACCCTAGATGTGAGGCGGGTCCTAGTATAACAGCCACACCTCAGAACTGGCTTGGCTGGATGTGACCCCAGCTCTTTCTGTCCCCGGAGCCATGGTTGTTTCTCATCCCCGTGGCTCTGCCTCCCTGTTCTGTGGCTGTTTTCTGGGCCCTGAGAGGCCTCGCAGCTCTGCCACCATGTCTCTGCGCTGCCCTCTTGGGCTCAGCGGTGCTCCCTCCAGCGGCAGTCTGGGTGCTGCTGAGCCAGGGGGTGTGGCCGGGTGCTAGGGCTGGGGTGACGGGTGGCACTGAGGGAGCAAGTATCTGAGGAGTTGGCTGTGACACTGGTGGCAGACAGATGTGGGCGTGGCCCTGGCCAGCTGACACATGGCTGTCAGCCCAGAGTAGCCACCATGTTCTGTCACCATCCTGCCTGTGGGCCCTTGATGCATAGCCCTTACTCTGGGGGCACCCAGAGACCCAAGGTGAGCCAGGAAGGTGCAAAGGACACATTTCCATGTGGCCAAGGCCCACAAAAAGTCCCTGGCCTCTGTGCCAACAGCCTCCCATAGTAGTCATCATGCTCTCAAGGCCTTGGGGCCATAAGGTGGGCAGGTCAGAGTCCCCTTTCTCACCATAGCAGGGAGACAAATGATAAACACCTAAGTGAAATATATGGTATGTCAGATGGTGACAAGTACAAGTAAGGAGAGGGGGTTCAGGGCACAGCAGGTGGGGGTCTTTTTTTAGTGTTATCAGAGAACACCCTCCAGTAAGATGAAGCTAAAGCAGAGACTTGAAGAACATGGGGGTTGGGGGAGTGAGCTATGCACATGTCTGTGAGAGCAGCATGTGCAAAGGGCCTGAGACAGGAAAGTGCCTGGCTGGGTGCATGGGAAGAGTGTGGTCTGAGAGCTGAGGTGGGGTCAGGTATCTAGGGCCTGGTAGCTTCTGTAAAAATTGGCTTTTCCTCCGAGATGAGAAGACATCTCATGAACCAGACACCTGACTTGTAAAGGCCATTTGCTCTGGCTCTTATGTGAAAGCAGGAAGGTGGTGGCAGCTGGGGTGATGTGGTGGGCAGTGGGCTGACGCAGGCTGTATGTGTCGGGAGCCAGCCATGCCAGGACCTGCTGACTGTTGTAGTCTCTCCTTTGCAGAACTGGCTGCGACTCTATGGCTACCTGCCTCAGCCCAGCCGCCACATGTCCACCATGCGCTCGGCCCAGATCCTGGCCTCAGCCCTCTCTGAAATGCAGCGCTTCTACGGGATCCCTGTCACCGGCGTGCTCGACGAAGAGACCAAGGCGTGAGTCCCTCTGTCAGGCCCTTCCCAGACCCCTCTGGTACCTGCCCTCCTTCTGGCCTACTCTTATGAGGTCTTGGCATGTGGAGCTACCAGAAAAGACTGGTCTAGATAAGAGATGACAAATGGTTTGATCTTCCATGCTGTAGTCTGATTGGGTGGGAGTGGCTGCCTAAAACCTTGTGTTGAGAAAGCACCTGAGCCCGAATCCCAGCTTGGCCACAAGGAGCGTAGGATTGATTGGTGATGTCTGCCACAGGAATGGGAATGGTGGGACACAGTGCACATGCCCCGATGGGACTGACAGAGGGGATATGATCCAAAGCCACATCCTGATGAGCATGCAAAGAGCATAACGTATCCAGGTCAGGAGGCCTCAGGAGTAACTGTCCCATCCCTGGGTGATTCTGATGAGAAGGGGATCACCTTTGCAGAGCTACCACTGGGCATCCAGTCTTCCAGTACGAGATCATTGTACCCATTTTCCTGGTGAGGAAATTGAAGGTTCACTAGTCTCCCACCACACCCTAAGAGGCAGCTGAAGGCCAGAGGGAGGAGGGTGGAAGGAGGTGGACTGTCAGGGGGAGGCTCTGTGCTCACCCATCCATGCCCATGAGCCAGGTGGATGAAGCGGCCCCGCTGTGGAGTGCCAGATCAGTTTGGGGCGCGTGTGAAAGCCAATCTGCGGAGGCGGAAGCGCTATGCCCTCACCGGCAGGAAGTGGAACAACCCCCACCTGACCTTCAGGTAGGGACCCCGGTTTCCCAGAGTGGTGTCCCTCCTGGAGCATCACCTTGTCTGAGGCTTCAGGCTTCCCAGTGGACTCATCTGGACGGTTTCCTTTCCCAGCAGCCCCCCCAGGGTGTCCGGTATATAGACAGTCCAAATCCACTCTAGCTCCCACACTGACTGCGGCTGCACACCCGAGGCCGTCTTCCTCCTGAGAAGGTCAGGACTCTTGGAGCTGCTTCCGCTCTCCCCACCCCCCACCCACCAGCTGCCTGGGTTGGCCTCACTGGCCCAGATGGATTCCTGCAGCAGTACAAACTGGGGGCCTCCACAGTACAGGACATGGGGTGTCAGGCACCTGAGTATGGGGGAGGGCAGGGGGACCGGAATCCAGGCACCTGTCAGGTGGGTGGGCAGTAAGTCACCTATAAAAACCCTCAGGCACCCTCCTCCTTCATGCTGAGTCCTTGAGCAAGAACCTCCTGTGAGCCTTTAGCATGCGGTGGTCCCCAAGGGCTCCTCTTCCTGTGTCTGTCCAGCGATGGCCCCACCAGTGCTCCATCTCCCGAGGAAGAGTAGCTCCCACGGCCTCTTAAACCCCAGGCCCCCAGAGTGAATTCATGGCCCAACCAGCTTTACTGGCGATCTGTCCAGCACACAGACACTAACTCTGATCTGATGAGTTCATTCACGTTATCCTCACAGGGACACCACGATGAAAGCACTAACCTTTACCCATTTTACAAATGAAAAAACTCAGATTCAGAGAGCTAACTCACTTGCCCAAAGTCACACAGATAATGTTAGAGCCCGGCCTTGAACTCAGGTCAGCCTGACCCTGGAGCCCAGCATTCAGAACCTATAGCTCCCGGCCTCCAACCACGAGTCCTGGCCTCCAACCCAGTGGGTACCAGCAGTGGACAGTAGCCCCAGGCCCTGGGTTCACTGGCGTGTCTCCTCACCCACCTGCAGCATCCAGAACTACACAGAGAAGCTGGGCTGGTACCACTCGCTGGAGGCGGTGCGCAGGGCCTTCCGCGTGTGGGAGCAGGCGACGCCCCTGGTCTTCCAGGAGGTGCCCTACCAGGACATCAGGCTGCGGCGGCAGAAGGAGGCTGACATCATGGTCCTCTTTGCCTCCGGTTTCCATGGCGACAGCTCACCCTTTGATGGCACAGGCGGCTTTCTGGCCCACGCCTATTTCCCCGGCCCTGGTATGGGTGGGGACACCCATTTCGACGCAGATGAGCCCTGGACCTTCTCCAGCACGGACATGCATGGTGAGAACAGCTGGCCAGGGTGAGGGCGGCGGAGGCAGAGCTGGAATTGCAGGGTCGGGAGGGGAAAGCTTCCCCTGCGTGGTTCTCTGGAGCACTGACACTTGGTCTCAAGCTGTTGTCCATCTTCAAGGGATGGCAGTGAAGAGATGGGATCGTTGTACCCATTTCTCAGATGGGGAAGTTGGAGGCCCAGAAAGTCAGAGCAGCTCAGCCTCTTCTAAGAGTGAAGCGAGGGCAGGCTCCCTGGCAGCCTCAGGCCCAGTGTGGGGCAGCCAGGTCCTGGGCCAGACCAGAGCTGACCATTCTGCTGGCCTCACTGCAGGGAACAGCCTCTTCCTGGTAGCGGTGCATGAGCTGGGCCATGCGCTGGGGCTGGAGCACTCCAGCAACCCCAGTGCCATCATGGCGCCATTCTACCAGTGGATGGACATTGACAACTTCCAGCTGCCCGAAGACGACCTCAGGGGCATCCAGCAGCTCTACGGTGAGCGGACAGCACGGACACGGCCGGTGGGCTCTGCACGCCTGCCCTCAACTCCCAGCCCTACAAAGACATAGGTGCTACTGCTGTCCCATTTTGTAGATGAGAAACTGAGGCCCAGAGAGCATTAGTGACTTGTCCACATCACTCAGATGATGCTAGAAATCAGCTGGCCCACCCAGGGTCCCACACCCAGAGCCCTCACAGTGGCTCCAGACTGGAGCTTGCAGGGGCCCCAGGTGGCCCCAGGTCCCATCTCTGACCCCCTGTCCTCCTCAGTCTCAGTGATATTCTTAGACCGAAGGTTCCAGGACCCCATTCCTCCTACTGTCACTCCCAGCCCAGTCCTGTCCTGGACTCTCTGCTAAGTATTGTTGGTTTATCACCTCCCAGTGTCCTCAGGCAGGTGGCACCCCCGGACCCAGGCCTCAACCAAGAAAGCCTCCAGCGGTGAGGTCTCCTGAGGGCCAGTTTGGTGGGTCAGGGCCTGTGCTCAGTGCCCACACCGAACCCCTCACTGGGGCTGGCAGTGCCCACCTTGCTGGGCACAAGGCAAACACTAGCAGCCTGGTAATAAGAGGGGAACTTGGCAGAGTTGGTAGAGCCGTGTTCTTGCCTCTGTGTGTGTCCCTTGTGTCCCGGGAGCCTCCAGTGGAACAGGCTGGCATCCTTAGGCGAATGTCCCCAAGGGGAAATGGAGACAGGGGCCACCTTGGGGGCACAGTGACCTAAACCCCGTGTTGGAAGGTCAAGGAGGAGGCTCTATGGAGGATGGCGGTCCTCCTGAGGGTGGGGTGGGGTCTGCAGTAGACAGGCAGGGTCCTCACAAGGGGCATGTGTTTTTCCAGGCGGGGACCCTGGAGAGACCCTGTTCTCCCCAGGGTTCTGAGGAGGACACCCTGGAGTCCTGGCTGGGTTCTGGGGCTTACTTCTTGCTCCCCCTTCCCTGGCTCTGCAGGCACCCCAGACGGTCAGCCACAGCCTACCCGGCCCCTCCCCACTGTGACACCCCGGCGGCCAGGCCGGCCAGACCATCGGCCCCCCAGACCCCCCCAGCCTCCACCCCCAGGCGGGAAGCCAGAGCGGCCCCCAAGGCCAGGCCCCCCAGTCCAGCCCCGAGCCACTGAGCGGCCTGACCAGTATGGCCCCAACATCTGCGACGGGGACTTTGACACAGTGGCCATGCTGCGTGGGGAGATGTTCGTGTTCAAGGTCTGGCCCCTGCCTATGCCTCCCTCAGCCCCTTGGCCCAGACTCAGAGCAGGAGAGCAGCCCCCCCCAAGACTTGCCCCACCTGGCTGCCAGGCACTCCCACCCCTCCACGGAGCTGCCCCTGGGAAGCCAGCAGACTCTAGACTGAGGAGCCACCAGCCTGAGGGATGAGGGACTTCCCTGGAGTCATACAGCAAGCCCAGGGGTCTGCCCCGCCCATTCGCCCCTTCTGCCCAGGGCGCTCTCCCTGGTGCTGCCCTCAGGACCTCAATGGCCTCCCCTGGACCCTCCCTCATCCAAGAACGGGTGGTCCCAGGTGGTCCCTACACCAGGCCGAGGCAGCGTGCATGCTCTGCCCACTCACACCCACGCCCTCCCCAGGGCCGCTGGTTCTGGCGGGTCCGGCATAACCGTGTCCTGGACAACTATCCTATGCCCATTGGGCACTTCTGGCGTGGTCTGCCCAGCGACATCAGTGCTGCCTACGAGCGCCAAGACGGGCGCTTTGTCTTTTTCAAAGGTGAGCTGGGGTCGGTGGGAGGGGATGAGCAGGGTTCCTGCCCCTGCCTCTGACCCAGCTGGGCCTGAGGAGGAGAGCAAAGGGGCACTGCACCCATCGGGGCAGCACCCCCGGTCAGCTGGGTCCCCAGGCACCTGGCCTGAGCTTCAGTGAGGCGGAGCTCCCCTAGGACAGGGTTGGCCCAAACCAAAAGTGGGGAGCCCTGGGCCATGTGCTGGGGTACCCCAGGGAACAGCCCCCAGACTCAGAAGCCAGGCAGGACTCCCCAGCTTTCCTCTCTACAAGAACGGTTGAAGGGTGAATGTTCACATGGGAACGCAGACCCATGTATAATGTGACTGTATGTTGTGTGTACAGGTGTGAGCAGGTGACGTGTGTATGTAAACGAGTGTGTCACAGTTGTGCAAGAGTATAGAGTGGGTGACACAAGGGTCAGCTGCATTGTGTGTTGTCATGGGTATCAGTGCCTGTCCTGTGTGCAAGGGTGTGAGTGTGGTTGTGTGTGTGTGTAATGAGTTTGGCAGTGAATGTGAATGGATGTATGGGCCCAGAATAACATTCCTGTGTCCCCTCCCCGCTCACCCCCCTCAGCCCTCGGCTCCTTTCTCACCTGCCTCCCACTCCTCCCACAGGTGACCGCTACTGGCTCTTCCGAGAAGCGAACCTGGAGCCCGGCTACCCACAGCCGCTGACCAGCTATGGCCTGGGCATCCCCTACGACCGCATCGACACAGCCATCTGGTGGGAGCCCACGGGGCATACCTTCTTCTTCCAAGCGGACAGGTGAGTGCCCTCCCCTAAAGGGTAAAGGCCCAACTGGGCCCCCTCCTCCCAGGCTACCCAGAGAACCCACTACCCGTGGGGAACAGACTCCAGGCCTAAGCAGGCCCACAGCCTGGTGCTTCTGGTCACAGGTACTGGCGCTTCAATGAGGAGACACAGCGTGGAGACCCTGGCTACCCCAAGCCCATCAGTGTCTGGCAGGGGATCCCCGTCTCCCCCAGAGGGGCCTTCCTGAGCAACGATGCAGGTACCAAAGCCAGCACTCTCCAGTCTGCCCAGCACTCACCATCCCCCTCCACACACTGGGGACAGGGCTTGCCCCAGGCCATCGGACACTGTGGGGGACACACAGCTGTGTGAGGCCCTGGGCTTCTGGGAACTTCTAGAGCATGACCCTCCTGGTCCTCCCTTCATCATCACCCTTCTGGTTTACAGACAGTCATACTAAACCACGGAGCTTGAGTAAAGGGTCCCAGATCCCACAGCCAGGAAGTTGTGGAGTCAGGAGTCCCACCCAGGCCCACCGGTGTCTAGAGCTGGTGCTCAGAGCTTCCCTGCCCCCCGGGCAGCCTGCAGGGAGCCTCAAGCCTGAGCTAAGCTGAGAGCGATGGGATGAGCATCCTCCCAGGGTGCCCACCTACCCACCTGGAAGGGAAGCCTGATCTCTGTCATTATAACCAAGTGACAGGGAGCTGGGGCTTTTATTTCTCCAGCGTGGTCTCTGGTGAGCTTAAGAAAGACCATAGCCCCGAATCGTAGGCTCCAGGCTCGAAGGCATAGGGGAGACCCTGCGGGCTTTGCCATTGCTTGGGCAGTTCACACTGCTGTGTGTGATGGCATCGCTCTGCGGCCGCTCTGATCTTGCTGTGCTCAGCAGAGCACAGACTCACCACATGATTCAAACCTGGCCCTTCCTGGGGCTGATGGGACGTGGCAAGATGCCCAAGGCCAGAGAGCTGGGCCAAGGCAGTGTTGGGCTCTGCTCCAGGTCCACTGCAGGCTGGCTGTGTGGCCTTGAGCCAGACTGTCTCATGTGGGGTGAAACCAGTCCTGGGACGGTAACAGGGTCCCCTGGCTGCAGCCTCCAACCCAGCAGGCTGTGGGACCCTTCCCCCGTGCACTGCCCTAGTCCATGTGAGCCCAGCCAGGAAGCACGGTATTCAGTGGTGCCCTTGACCCAAACCCTGCCCGTCTCTGAACCCGGTCTGGCTTCCTGTAAGTTGGGAAGGGGCAGATTTGAAAATGCTCAGGGAAGCAAGTAAAAAGGAGGATGTTTTAAAGCCAGGGCTCCTTCAGCACGTCTTGGTCTTCTGCAAGGGTCCCTGGCTGGTGAAGGGCCCCACCCTGAGACCACTCCCGCCTGCTTGCCCCCACAGCCTACACCTACTTCTACAAGGGCACCAAATACTGGAAGTTCGACAATGATCGCCTGCGAATGGAGCCTGGCTACCCAAAGTCCATCCTGCGGGACTTCATGGGCTGCGAAGAGCCAGGACCCCGATGGCCCGATGTGGCCCGTCCGCCCTTCAACCCCGACGGGGGTGCAGAGCCTGGGGCAGGAGGTGAAGGCCAGGAGGGCGACGAAGACCAGGGGGCCGGCCCGGGTGCTGGGGAGGGGACAGATGAGGATGGGGGCAGCCGCGTGGTGGTGCAGATGGAGGAGGTGACTCGGACAGTGAACATGGTGCTGGTGCTGGTGCCGCCGCTGCTGCTGCTCCTGTGCATCCTGGGCCTCACCTACGCGCTGGTGCAGATGCAGCGCAAGGGCGCGCCCCGCATGCTCCTGTACTGCAAGCGCTCTCTGCAGGACTGGGTCTGACCCGCCGCCCTCCTGCTCCTCACGGTGCTAGGCTGGCGGAGCCTGTGGTTTGAGACTGCTCCTGGGGCACCCAGCAAGAGCCTTCGGTGGCTCCCTCAGTCCCTGGGTGGGCCCCGCCCCCCAGGCCCTCCAACATCCCTGCCAGCCCTGACCCCATTGTTTATTTATGCCCAGGTTTTTTTGTTTTTTTGGTTTTTTTTTTTTTTTTTTTTTTGCACACTAACTGAGCATTGGTTTCTACTTTCCCAACCAGGGGCAGTCAGTCCCTCAGGGCAGGGGGTTAGAGAGCTTTCTAAATGGAGTTTTGCTCCAGACAGGGAATCAGGCCCCCACCCACCTCTGGCTTGGCCACAGCCAGCAGAGGGGAGGGTCAGAAGGCCCAGGTGGGAGAGGCTGACTTGAGCTGTGAGCTGTGGAGGTTCCTCTGGAGCTGGGCCCTCCACAGCCTGAGTCCCAGGGCCAGACCCTGAGCTCTGCTGAAGCTCGTAGGGCCTGACTGGTCTCCACCCACCTAAGTCTTTCTCTGCCTTAGGAACAGCTCTCACCCAGGGCCACCCCAAGTCAGAGGGAATGGAAGGGGAGGTGACCCTTGGCTATGAGTCCATGTGGAGTTTTGGTTCCTTCCCAACCAACCTCTAACCACCCCAGCAGCCCAGGCTCTTTGTGCCTAAGAACCCTACACCCTCCCCTGGCCAGCCGAGGGGCCAGCAACCCCCAGCTCCCATGTACCCCTTGAGCCCACACCTCCTTTTCCGTCTAGAGAAGGGGTCCTGGGCCCGCCTTACCACGGACCAAAGGAGGTCTGCCAAGGCCCCTCCACCCCAGGAGCCTTGCCTCCCTGGCTGGGCCTCCCGCCCCCGTCTACCTTCCCTCTCTAAGCTGTATGACCCATCCAGGCTCCTTCCCTGGGCCTAATGCCACCCTCTCTCACCCACACCACCATCCTCAGGGGTCTCAGAACCCCACCAACCTCAGGCTTCAGCTGCCAGTATCCCGGCCCTCCTGGGGAGAGAGAAGGCTGATGGGTGCCCGGGCTGGGGTGCTAGATGTCAGAATATGCCCACCTGTGTGGGTGCCCACAGCCCACCATGTACCAGGCTTGGAGAGGGCTCCTCCCCTGAAGTTCCCTGTTCCCCAGGGCACTAGTGGGAGAGGCGAGCAGGAACCCACTGTGGCCTGAAGACTCCCCTGCTGCTGGGCTCAACCCTGAGGGTGGACATGCTTCCTCTTTTCTTTCCCAAAGCAAGCAGAGGCGAGCTGCTGTGGGAAATGGTACTGTACAGCCGGCTCTGTCTACTCCGCTCCCCCATAGCCCTGAGCACAGGGGTCTGCCACCCAGAATCCCAAGGCCCCTGGAAGGAGGGGCTTCTCATGGGCTGCCCCCCATCCCTCC